TGCAACTGAAAACCGCTAATCTAAGGAACAGCAATCCAAAGTCAGTGCCCATGACCCTTTATCAGCTGCCGTGCAAGGCTGGGGCTTCCTTTAAGGCTGAGGAGCCACCTTACACAGATGTCACTTGGTTCTATCCAGGATCAAAGAGGCATTTCTGCAGTGATCACAGCTGACGTCAAACACTATCTTTACAAAAAACCAGACTTTATTTGCCTGAACGTTTTCAAACGCTCAGGAGTTGGGCTCTATTTCCAAATTACAGACCCATCACTCTGTGGTCCTGTTACCAATAGCTAACTCTCTTCCACCACTGCTGTGGTTCAACTGGTGGCACTGACCATATGAAACTTTCATTGCTTTGCAAAGAAAGGCTCTCTTGAATCCTGTAGAATTAAGGAGACTTATCTCAATGGCATATTAGCTGTCTGAGGATAGGAGTCACTGAGAAACACTGAGTAACTGTGATTCAGCTGACAAAGCAGCCCCTTCATAACAGGATAGGGATTAAGGCTCGATGGACTTTATGACAAAGTGAGGTTTGAAGCTTTTGACATCAAAATAAATAACGAGTCAAAGAAATGGTTTATAACTCAGGGAGTTTCTTTCCCTTCTCCCACTCTTCTATTTTTACTTTCATAGCTTTCTCTTAGAGGAACAAAGGAAATCTGCCATCTTCCTGTCTCAGTAGAGCACCAATGTTTCTCTTTTGCTAATTTTTAATCATGGAAGTGGCACTTGTAAGGGGAGCAAAAGGACATGCCTTATCCAGAGGTGGACATGGGCCAGCACCCAGTGGCTAGAACGTAGCCACGGCGATGATCAGCGCCACCAGCTGAACCACCGCAGTGGTGGAAGAGAGTTAATTATTGGTAAGAGGATCACAGAGTGACGGGTCTGTAATTTGGAAATAGAGTCCAACTCCTGAATAGAAAAATATTGTCATGTCACTAGAATTAAACAGATCTACAACTAAATTACAGTCAATAAAAATTATATTTGAAAACACCCAAACACTTGTGAAGACCCTTTTCAATGTATTGATTTCTATATGTAAGAAGTAATTTCATAAAATATATTTGGTCTGATGGGAAATTTGTGGAACTCTAAAATTTGGGCAGTCTGCAACATTTATAGGGCTATATTCTGGCCACATAAAAAATTCACAAAAGCCCTGTTTTGTAGGCACTATAAATAAGTGTTAACCTGAAAGGTACCAAAACACAAAACTGAAGACCTGCTCTAGCCTCAGATTTTAAAAATACTTTGCTAGGATTCTATTTCTTAATTCTCATAAGAGATGAGGGAGATTCTTTGGAAGTCAGCCCTCACTGCTGTGACAATTCATTCATCTGGAATTACTGGGGGCATGTTGATAAACAAGATGTTATCTGAGAGCTAAACTTTATATATTGTGCTGAAACTTCTGCAGTGGAGTTATTTTTTATGGATAATTTTAATTTGATATTTTCTTAAAGCAGAGTTGCTTTTTTGCCCAGGCTGGAGTGCAGTGGTACAATCTTGGCTCACTGCAACCTCTGCCTCCTGGTTTCAAGCGATTCTCCTGTTCTCCTGCCTCAGCCTCCTGAGTAGCTGGGATTACAGGCATGTATCACTATGCCTGGCCAATTTTTTTTTTTATTTTTAGTAGAGACAGAGTTTTGCCATGTTGGCCGGGCTGGTCTCAAGCTCCTGGGCTGAAGTGATCTGCCCGACTTGGCCTCCCGGATAATTTTAATTTTAAACAGAAGACCCCAACTATAACTTTACCATTCCTTGATGGCTCAAGGCCATCATTATTGCTGCAACCGGTGACCGTGCTGCACTCTGATACGCAGCTATTCTGGGGACTAACAATGTTTGCTGCGCTCTCTCCTCCGGCACAAAGGACATCAAGCTGATCGGGGCAGCCAAGGCTGCCAAACCTCTTTCCAAGAACATTCCCAGGTGTGAAGAGGAAGAGACTCAGAATCCACCAACCGCTTCCAAAGAACAACTTGAGAGGCTTTACCTACATCTCCTTCACCCCCTGAACTACTGTACATCTAAGAGACCAAAGGGCTTGGTGCAGTGGCTCATGTGTATAATCCAGCACTTTGGGAGATCAAGATGGGTGCATCATTTGAGCCTAGAAGTTTGAGACCAGCCAGAGCAACACAGTGAGATCTCGTCTCTTTTATTTCCTTCTTTCCAACATAGTGAGACTCCTTCCCTTTTCCCTTCCCTTCTTCCTCCCTCTCTCTCTTTTTCTCCCCTCCCATCTCTTTCCCTCTCCTCCCCTCCCTTCTTTTCTCCCTCCCTCCTTTCCTTCCTTCCTCCCCTTTCTTCTCTTTCTTTGACAGAGTCTTGCTCTGTTGCCCAGGCTGAAGGGCAGTGGTGCAAACACAGCTAACTGGAGCCTCAACCTCTCAGGCCCAAGTGATCGTTCCACCTCAGCCTCCTAAGTGGCTGGGACAACACGTGCACCACCATGCCTGGCTAATTTTTGTGTTTTTTGTAGAGATAGGCTCTCACTATGTTGCCTAGGCTGGTCTCCAACTCCTGAGCCCAAACAATCCACCCGCCTCAGCCTCCTAAAGTGCTGGGATTGCAGGTGTGAGTGAGCCACTGTGCCTGGCAAAAACCCCATATTTACAAAGAAAAAAAAATTAGCTGGGTGTGGTGGTGTGTGCCTATAGTCTCAGCTACTTGGGAGGCTGAGCCACTGCACTTCAGCCTAAATAACAGTTGGATCCTGTTAAAAAAAAAAAAAAAAAAAAGACCAAAGAACAGCTTCATCAATTTACAATCAATAAATATTGATTGAGAATAAACTGTACATCTTTTGGGACCTTAGCATATAGCACAATTCAGCTTCTCTATAAATGCTGCTTGAAGGAGGATTTGGGTAGCTGTATCTGAGAGAGAGAGAGAGAAAGGGAGGGCGTGAAAGGGAGATGTCAGACAAAGAGAGAGACAGACACAAACATGCAAAAAACACAGCCCTAGAATGTTCAGAGAATGTGAAATTTAAAGACAATGGTATAAAAGATACTAGGGAGAAATATAATTTTTTAAAGAAGAGTATACATTTTCCTAGTCTTCCAATGAAACATGAATTTTGTTTCACACACAAATAAAAAATCCAAAATTCATTTTTACATTTAACTTCAAACGAAAAAATATTGAGGAAAGAAATTATGTTAGGTAGCCTTAAAAATCAGTGTACAATTGGGAATTAGAAAATAAGAGGCGAGCTGAGAAATCATGTCTCTTTACACCCTTTTCTAGGTCATGTGAACATTTCTGGAGTAAAAATTCTATGTCTCCTTTGGTGCTTGCTACAACTTTGGGTCATTCTCACATGAATAAATGTTCCTCCTTGGATATACTGAGATTCAAGTGTCTTTTTCTTGTCCTCTTGAAAAAGGACAATTTGGTCAGCTTCTTAAAGATACTCATTAAGCTACACGTCAGTCAGCTTCTAACCAAGTTCTAGTAACTGGGCTACAATTTTTTCATGTATGTGTGTGAAGTTTTCCTTGTTAGGAAATAAAAAGGAAGTGAGACAAGGTCTCAGCTCTCAAAGAGCAGGGAGTGTAGAGAGGGGAGGGTGGATGCATTAACAAATGACTGTGACAAACGCAGCGAGCACAATGACAAACACATGTTCCGGGTTCAGCGGTGGAAGAGCAAGTGGTGATCATGGCTTTTTAAGCAGTTCTGGGTCAGTTCTCAGGGTCAGCCCTTTGGATCTGAGCACAGGCCTAGGGAGATCCAAATGCCTCAGTACTCTGGGGTCAAGAGACCGTTATATTTGAGGGCAAGTCACAGATGACCTCCCTGGTATCACACGAGCATTTATTATTGCCATAAATTTTACATATCCGTTAATTTTTTTCTGTATTATCTTTCAAGAAAACGATCTTAAAAATAATTATTCACTATGTGAAATGCTACTACTTCCCTGTGTTCTTTATCTGCTTCCTCCACCAAAACCCTAGGTGATTCTCTTCTGTCCTTCAATAATACCAACATGATTCTCTGGTGTGAGTTGGCCGCTATTCCTCCCAGCACCACTGTTTAATTACGGACTGAGTCACAATTCAACAGACGAAAGGGTCTGAGACGGGAGAATGCAATGTTACCAAGATATACTGGACTATCACACATTGTTCGAATATTCAGTAGAAGTCAAATATATTGGGAGGACTTGGCCTGCAACTGATCCAAGACGACATTCAAAATAGTTTACATTATACACCATGGAATACTATGCAGCCATAAAAAACGATGAGTTTGTGTCCTTTGTAGGGACATGGATGAACCTGGAAACCATCATTCTCAGCAAACTGACACAAGAACAGAAAATCAAACACCACATGTTCTTACTCATAGGTAGGTGTTGAAAAATGAGAACATATGGACACAGGGAGGGGAGGATCACACACTGGGGTCTGTCATGGGGAAATAGGGGAGGGACAGCGGGGGGTGGGGAGTTGGGGAGAGATGCCAGATACAGGTGATGGGAAGGAAAGCAACAAATCACACTGCCATGTGTGTACCTATGCAACAATCTTGCATGCTCTTCACATGTACCCCAAAACCTAAAATGCAATTTAAAAAATAGTTTACATTTTGCTATGCCAAAACTACACTGCTTTATGAATTTTAGACACCAAGACATAGAAGCATACTGAGAATTCCATGTTTTAAGAATAACAGATTGTTATCTTGTTTCAATCAGTAGCACCTTCCTAGAATGCAGCTACTTCTCATTCTTTACTTTTCATCCTATACATTTATCAGTCTCATAGTATATTTCAGCCATCAACTGCTGTAGAATTCAAATAAACCACCACCAACAGGTCTTAGATTTCTTTGCCCTCTTTAAACTGGGGAAACCCAAAGATTCATTAATATGCTTTGAGCACTTCAAACTATAAGCATGACAGTAATTGCCCATTAAGGCAAACTGCTCTGAATAATCTTGTTGACTACACAGCAGAGAATTGTTGACAAACCTGAGCAGAAAGTGGAGGCAAAGTTCTGCAGAGCGGTGTCCACCTCCTCTACACTGGAGAGAGCCAGAAGCCGAGGAAGGAGGCCTTCCAGGGACTGTATGAACAGCCTGGTGCTGTGCTGATCCGCCTCCTGGTTCTTCAGCAGTTTTAGAGACAGGGCAGCAGTTCGCAGGGACCGGTGGCCCAGGCAGTCCCGGGGGGTCTGCTCTTCGTCGGCAAGTGAACAGTTGTCCGACCCTATGTCCGACACGTCAGACCTGCCCGAGTCCTTTTCTGCGGCCATTGAGTACTGATCACAGGAATCAAACTCTGTCCTAGAAAGGTCTTGGTCATCGACGCTAAAATTGCTCTCACTATACCTAGATCCATAGGACCTTGTCCTGCAGTCTACTGACAGGAAGTTAGTTATGTCAGGGTAAGGGACCGTGTGGCTTCTCTGCACCACATCTGGTTGGTCTACTGCCTCTGGTTCCAATACTTTGCTCAGTGTCTCCTTGCCCTCTGGGATGGCTGGCGACTTGAGACTGTTCTTGTGGTTTCCCGAGTGGTCCTCAGGTGTGGTCTGACCTAACTCTCCCTCAAGCGTGGTCTGGCCTGTGTCTGTGGTGACACTGATGCTGATGTCAAGGTTCCTCTCGTTCCCTGACTCCCACGGCGTGTGCTCTGAGGACAGCACTCGCCGCTGCCAGCGGAAGTCGGCCTCATTGATCTCCATGGAATCTCGGCTCCACTCAGCCCCATCCTTCAGCTCCTCAAGGCGCAGAAGCAGCAGGTGCACCTGATCTTCGCTCAAGCCCTTCCCCTGGCTGAGCTCGTCCAGGGCACCCAGCAAGGTGCAGACACAGGACACGGCCGCATAGCAGGCTTCAATGCCACCCTTGATGCATGCTTCGGTCATGCCATCCATGATGCTAAGCGGTGTTCAAAAGAGAAAGTGGCACAAATGCATAAAATATGGAAAATGTCTCTGAAAGGAACAAGAGCTGTTAGCCCGGCAAATAGCACAGTATTCAAAACAGATAGTCTGATTTGCATAAAATGAAATGGTCAGGGTAATAAAGAAAACAAACATGCTCAGGTGTGCAGAGGAAAATCAGATAACGTGGCCTGCACTGGCTGGGCACAGTGGCTCACGCCTGTAATCCCAGCGCTTTGGGAGGCTGAGGTGGGCGGATCACTTGAGGTCAGGAGCCTGGCCAACATGGTGAAATCACGTCTCTACTAAAAACACAAAAAATTAGCCAGGTGTGGTGGCATATGCCTGTTATCCCAGGTACTCAGCAACCTGAGGCAGGAGAATCGTTTGAACCCAGAAGGTGGAGGTTGCAGTGAGCTGAGATCGTGCCACTGCACTCTAGCCTGGGTAACAGAGCAAAACTCCATCTCAAAAAGAAAAAAGAAAAAAACATAAGTGGTCTGCATTGAATCGTACTCCCTATTGGCTTGCTGATTTATTTGGATACAAACAGAAGCACCTGATGAGCATTTATAATCTTCCTGAACAATCTCACTTTTGTATTATGCTCAGTGATTCAAATGGAAAATAGTTATAATGGTTATATGATAATGTGGGCCTTCCTCTATAAACATATTCCTGAGCAGATGCATGTGAATACAACTATTACAAGTCCTATAATATTCAGTTTTCTAGGGGGAAGCTACATATGAAGAAATCCTATAGCTACAGTATTTAAGTCAAAAGTTCTCTAAAATAATCCCAATGAATAATTATTATACATTTCATTTGATACATTACACTTTGATTTTAAGTCAATATGAAAATATGGAAAGTTCCAAGATTATAATAAATTGAGGTAAGCCTTCTCACGTAGCTTGTGGGTGAATTATTAAATAGATACATTTTATATAATGTAGAATTTTTTTAAAACTTCAGGGATTTGCAAGCAAGGTTAAAAGTCTTCAGAAAAGCAGTCTCTATAAAGACCTAAAAGGATAAGTATCATACAGTTTGAGGAGATCCAGATGAGACTTTCTTTTTGAAATTGATCTTTTTCTGGACTCTGGTTCAGTGGAGCTGGGTCCTGCCAAGTCACAGAGACGCTGTGGGCTCCCGAGAATCTTTAAGAAAATGGTAAAAGAGTAACAGAAAAGTGAATATCACAAAAAAGCACAGGGTTTTTAAATTGTAAGATCAAATAAACACGTACTTTCCCTCCTGAGTGATATAGTACAAGGAGAAACACAACTATTTGGAGCTTCAAATCTTAGGAAGACTCATTTGGATTTTCTTCTTGACATATGGTATATATTGGGCTCCCAGCTCCTCAGCTCAGGGTTGGCTTAGACAAGGAAAATTCTCAGAGGGATTGTTTCAAAATCTTTTCTAGCATAGAACTAGAAAACACGTGGATCTCTGTTCTTTAGTAAGATTGGCTTATAATAGAACCTTCCTGGACTTTTTGTCTTATTTTGGTATCAAGCCAGCTAGCTTCATAAACTGGGTGGAGAAGTTCGCCCTGTTTCTTGTCGCTGAAAAAGTTCATGGAAGATTGGAATTACTTGTTCTTTGAATGCTTCTACAACTTGTTTCTAAAGCTACATGGGGCCAGAACTTTAATGAGAATACCTTAACTACTCCTTCCATTCCTCTAAAGATTATAGGAGTATTCAGGTCCTCAATTTCTTCTTGAACCAACTTTTGTAAAGTTGCATTATTTCCCAGGGACTTATCCACTTTACCTGGTTTTCAACTTTACTGTTCTAAAGTTGCCTTAATAACCTCTTTTATTTATTTAACGTGTGTAACATCTATAATTAGCTATTCTCATTCTTATTTCTAATTGTACCTGTTCTGAATTTTTTTATTGCTGTTGAGAATAGTCTTTCAATTTTCTTAGCCTTTTCAGTCCTAACATTTTGCCTTTTTTTTTTTTTTTTTTTTTTTTTGAGATGGAGTCTCGCTTGGATGCACAGGCTGGATGGGTGCAGTGGGGCGATCTTGGCTCACTGCCACCTCTGCTTCCCAGGTTCAGTCAATTCTCCTGCCTCAGCCTTCCAAGTAGCTGGGACTACAGGCATGTGCCACCATGCTCAGCTAATTTTTTGTATTTTTAGTAGAGACAGGGTTTCACTATGTTACCCAGGATGGTCTCGATCTCCTAACCTCATGATCTGCCCGCCTTGATCTCCCAAAGTTCTGGGAATATAGGCATGAGCCACTGTGCCCGGCCACAATTTCTGCTCTTTAAACTCCCCTATATTTCCTTGTCACATTACTTTCTTCTTTTATCCTTATTTTTCCTCCTTTTTACTTTCTTTGAATTTATTCTATTCTTTTTTCCTAACTAAGCTGGAGAATTAGGACATTAAGATTTTCTTTTCTAATATAAGGAGTTAAAGCTATAAATATCTTCCCATTTACTGCGTTTGCTGGCTTCTCACAAGTTCTCATATATGTTAGTAATTGTTCACTTCTAACACATTTTTATGTATATATGGTAGAAGTCTATAGGAAATTTCAACTCGAGGCTAAATTAATTGAAGGAAAGATGGTTAATGCAGTACGCCTGCAGCAGACGTCCCATCGTTTTGTCCATTCATCTTCGAAGTGATTGATAACTCCAAGCAAAGCTAGGAAAAGGTCCATTACACAGAAGCAGCTGTATTTTAAGTGGCTCTCTTTCCCTCTTTTCATATTTCTTTCTTACCACAGAAATTGAAAACTTCTGCTCTCTGGGAGGAACAGAAATGAAGCTTTCCCTTTTTGTTGACATCAAAAAAAGAGTGACAATGCTGGGCCTAAGTCAGGCAGGCTTTCTTTTTCCCTCTCTCTCTCTCTCCCACCCCACCCTATAGGCCTGCAGCCTCCTGGCTGGACCCTATGAGCCTCAGGATGCTCCATCTCTTGCTGGAAGGGTAGCTGCATTTCCAAAAGAGGGAGTGGAAAACCTCACTGTCTCCTGGGATCCCACCACCATTTAAAATCCAGCTTCACCAGTAATAAACCAGATATTCACTGGTAATAAATTAGTTTTTTTTTTTTTTTTTAATGAAATCTCTGTCACCCAGACTGGAGTATAGCATCACAATCTCGGCTCACTGTAACATCTGCCTCCTGGGTTCAAGCGATTCTCCTGCCTCAGGCTCCCAAGTAGCTGGGACTACAGGTGTGTGTCACCACGCCAGGCTAATTTTTTTGTATTTTTAGTGGAGATGACATTTCACCATGTTGGCCAGGCTGATCTTGAACTCTTGACCTCAGGTGATCCGCCCATCTTGGTCTCCCAAGATAATCTATTTAAATTCCCACATCAATCTTGTGATTATTTCTCAATTGTTTCAGGATCTGGAGGGAAAGAGATGGACTGATTAGGCTTCTGAAGAACCCTCAACAAATACTAAAAGGAAAAGATGTTTTTAACCTCAGCTTCTTCAGGTGGGAACGAGATGTGGGATCAGTGGCTGGGGTGCCAAGGTCTGATAAAGACTAGGGAGCTTCTAAAGCTGAGCCACAGGAGAGAAAAGGAAGCAAGGCATACTTTTCCATTACCGTTCATTTTGGAGGGTAGGGAATTAGAAACAAAAAAGAGACTGCGCTTTGAAAAACAAAATGTCCTATATGTCCTTGATCAATAGGCACATAGTGCATATGGCAGAGTGACAACTACAATGAGAACAGGGAAATAACGCACCAAGCGTTCAAACTCCAAAAGGCTAAACAAACATCCTGGGTACCCAGCGGTTTTCTTTGTGTGCATAAGCCCTGCACATTTTGGTATCTAGGTTACCAAATTTCCCAAATGATTGGTTTTGTCGTATAAAGTGGAGGCGCTGCTTTTCAGAACATCCTGGCCCCAATTAGTCTGCTGGGCTCCTTGGGGCAGCACCACCTGGATGTGCAACTTGGGTGCTACCATCACATTCTAGCCTCACCTCTGCAACATGACCTTGGAAAGCTAGAACATCTACGATGAACAGGAAAACATAACTAACTTCCTTTCGTAGTACGAAGGAAATTATTTAAAATATATTTAGAGACCTACGTATGCCATATACAAAGTATCTACTTAGGATTCAGGTACTAAGTGGCTCTACTGCGGGCAGTGACAGCTCTCATGCCTGTCATTTCTGAGGGGAAAGGAAAGGTTGCTGCTGCGTACAAAACAGCCTCTTTGTAGACATTTTGTCTTCAGGTCCACATGTTATTCAGTCGAAAGTTACTAAACACTTATTCTGATTCAAGCATTATAGAGTGAAATACTAGGGGAAAACATACATAAGCAATCTATACACAAAAGTACAGTTAAGGAGACAAGAAGCTCATTCCCCATTCTATCGTGAAACATCAGTATGATGGGATGTATAATCAATTGCTAAATGGCAGGATGGAATTTAAAGAAGAACCCGATCAGTGGTCTGAGGAAGCCTGGCTGCGAAGGACAAGAATTTCGATAGCAAAGCAGCAGACATAGTTAGAACATCGGGCTTCACCATCTCAGCCTTACGGCTCACAAGGTGAAGGACTTTGGGCAAGTGATTTTCTTCACCCAGAGGCTTGGCTTTCCCATCTGGAAAATGGGCATGATATTATTTTCCTAAGGGAGTTTAAAAATAAACTAATGTGAACAGGCAGCAGTGTCTAGCCTGTTGAAATTAACCACTCAACTCTGAGAAGGCAGTGGAGCATGGGAATACAGGACAGGGGACCCTGAAGAGAGGCGAGAAGGTAGGAGTTGAACAAAGCAGGTCATTTAGGTGGGATGAAGGTGCATCCTGGGAAGTGATAGAAAATGCAAATGATGTAAGAAGGCTCTGGAATCTGGGCACAGTAGCTCAGCCTTGATGGGAGAGTCAATGAAGAGCCATTAGAGAGCCCTGGGCAATGGTAAAATTGTTAACAGTGGTGATTTACGGACATAAGTCCAGTAAGACAAAAGGAATAAAGCAGGCAGGAGAGGGAGGCCAGCTAGAATTGAACCAGCTATTTTCAGTCTCCATGTGTTTCTTCTCTTCCTTAGAATAGTAATAAGTGCACCAAATATTTGTTTAGCACTTTATACTTACAAAGTACTTAGGCAAACTTGATTGCATTTTGAACTTGCAGCCTTTGGAATATTATGACAATGTACGGATGACAAAACTCTTAAGTTCAGAGTTAAATGATGTACCTCTATCATGTAGCCAGTGAGTGGCAGAGAGAGGATTCAAACCCTCAGTCTCAAACTCAGGTTCCTGAAACCGGCAGCTGAACCAACACCAAGAAAGGGGCTGCTGGGGGTCATCTGCACTGTGAGAGTCAAATCCAGTGGTAAGTATGATACAGGAAAAGACCATGGGATAAGAGTCACAGGGATTTGCACCTTTTCTTTTACTTTGGGACTTTGGGGAAATCATTTGACCTCCTAAAGCCTAAGTTCCTTTGGGGAAGGGAATTTTCTCTGGCATCACACTTCTATGAGGAGGAACACCCAGTGGAGTAAAATTTTAGGCCTCTCCTCTCCCTTCCTCTCCTTTCTTCCAGGTGCAGAGGAGCCCCTGATCGACTGGTGAATTTAGGATACGGAGCTGAGCCTGCCTTGCTAGCCCCTTTCTTGCCCATCTTCCTGGGGATCTGCCAATCAGAGGAAGTCCACAGTTGCCCCTCCAGGATGCAAGTTGAACAGGTGTGGGGGAGGACCTTTGGGAAGGGCCGCTGCGGTCTGAGTGGTAGAGAGTGGTCTAGTCTCACTGGCTTCCAAAGCTGTATTGTACCTGATCACCTAGTGAAGATCAGTTCTTAAAGCTGGCCTTTTGATCTCCATTGCCTGAAGCTCTGGTGGGGAAAAGAAGTAACATTCCTTTTTTTTTTTAATTTAATTTTTAAATTTAATTTAATTTAAGACAGGGTTTCACCATGTTGGTCAGGCTGGTCTTGAACTCCCGACCTCAGGTGATCCGCCCACGTTGGCCTCCAAAGTGCTTGGATTACAGGCATGAGCCACCACACCCGGCAGAAGTAACATTCCTAGTCAGTAAAAATAAAGTTGATGGCCTGGCATGGCAGCTCATGCCTGTAATGCTAGCACTTTGCAGGGCTGAGGTGGGCAGATTGCTTGAGCTTAGGAGTTCGAGACCAGCCTGGGCAACATGTTTCTACAAAAAATACAAAAACTAGCTAGGCATGGTGGCATACACCTAGGTCCCAGCTTCTCTGGAGACTGAGGTAGGAGGATCACTAGAACCCAGTGTCCATGCTTCATTGAGTCATGATTGTGTCACTGCACTCCGGCCTGGGCAACATAGTGAGATCCTGTCTCAAAATAAATAAAGTTGATATACAACCTCACAAATTTAATATGAATAATAAAGATAATATATATGAAGTGCCTGGCATATAGTAGGCAAGAAAAAGAATGGTAATTATTATTGTGGGCTCATAGATTTTCTTAACCAGCCATTAAATCTGGTCCACTGTTTAATTTTTAGAAACAGTGGGTCAGAACTATCCAATACTCATTACAATAAAATCTCATTAAAACACCAAGAAAGAATTCAAATTTAACTTCTTAGATACTGGCTGGCAGCAATGATTGCTTAAAATAAACAAACCATCAACAAGGGAATTTTGCTACTCTGTTTTTGTGTGTGTGTGTGGGGGGGTGGTGAGGCACCAAAAGGAAATGCAATCTGACCTTTATGAACAGGTTCACAACTACAAAAACACTGATGACTTTTCTTTTTGATTCTTTGAGAGAAGGCAGAGGAATCTCTGATTGAAGAACCTTCAGAATAACCCTAATTCCGCCTCGAAACTATGAGGTAGCACACTGGGATGGCTACTGCAATCTGGACACCCTTTATGTTCTCACTGGGGTCATGACATTCGGGAGAAATGAGGCAAAAGAATGGGGTAAAGGGATTCCTCTTGGCAACCAGAGACTGGTGAAGCTCTTTTTTTGATAAAGTGTAATCTGAGTATAAAATCATTTTGAAATACAGTGTTGGCAAAGGTGAATAAACTCATATATCTGCACACACAGTACCTAAGGTAGCAGAATGAAATCTCAGCGTGGCCCTGGTCAGGTGCACAACTAACAGAGTCTTAACAAGCGCGAGCTCAATTATCAAATGGTTTTGCATCGGTGAGCATCACTGACCCCTCCTGCCCTGGCTCACAATACATGTACACACGCACTGACTCAAGAGACAGCATTCGTTACTGGATACCATGAGGCAGCAATGAAGTTCTGGCAAGTGATTAGCAAGCCTTTTCTGAGCACTTCTTGTATGTGAGATGCTAGTCAGGCCCCTGGTAAACCGGGTGGCCATCTCCAGTGCCTCCTCACCTCTTTCATTATTTTGATGGCTTCCACCCGGTGCTGGGGTGGGGGGTAGAGCAGCACTCGGTGGTAGAGGGACTGGAGCACGGGCTTCATGGAGTCCACGGACCCCACCAGCCGGACCAGCTCGGCTGCGATGTAATAGATAGTCCGAGCCACAGGCCCACTCAGGGCCGGCGCGGTGCAGGAGCAGCCGGATCCCCGGCCGTGGTCAGACACTCCCGGAGACGCAGAGTCTGATTCCAGGCTGGTACTGGTGCTGCTGCTGTGAGCAGAGGTGATGGTTTTGTCGTGGATTGGATTCCCCAGGATCACGATGAGAGCAGGGCAGAGGCTTTTCCTGGGAAGACATGGGGAGAAAAGTAAGTTTCCCCACAAGCCAAATGATAAAATTTACTCTGTGAGTAAACAGATACCACAGAAATGACACATAAGAAGGGGGTTCTTTACTGCTTCTTCTTTTGGCTGCATTTTGCCCGTTTTCTAAGTCTATCATTTCTGGGTATTTCAACAATACTTTTCCTCATAAATAGAGCTAGCGCAAACAAAATAAAAGAGAAGCATTAAGAGGCTGTGCGTGGTAGCTCATGCCCCTAATCCCAGCACTTTGGGAGGCCAAGGCAGGTGGATCACAGGATAAGGAGTTAAGGAGTTTGAGACCAGTCTGGCCAACATAGTGAAACCCCGCCTCTACTAAAAGTACAAAAATTAGCCGGGCATGGTGGTAGGCACCTGTAACCCCAGCTAGTTGGGAGGCTAAGGCAGGAGAATCACTTGAACCCGGGAGACGGAGGTTGCAGTGAGCTGAGATTGAGCCATTGCACTCCAGCCCAGGTGACAGGGTGAGACTCCGTCTCAAAAATAAAAAATAAAAAATAAATTAAACCATCGTAAGTGAAGAAATGGTCTCAAAATGTGAAATGGCTGTTCTAAAGTTTCATATTACTATAAATAAAAAAATTATTTCTCATTTCCTAATTTAATTGCAAATTCCATACAGTTGTCATTTGACTTCCTTCCCGTCAATAAGCCCAGGGACCCAGAGCAACCAGCTGGCTGCCTGCGGGGCCTGCCACTTCTGGGAATCTCCGACTATGATTAAGAGACTGGTATGCGGGTCGAGATGGAGCTCGGGCTAGGAGGAAAGCTCAATATCTCTTGTCCCCTGCATGAGTTATATGCTTTTTGAATGAGCTGAAAACACAGAAAAATCTCGTGGTTCTGATCTCTCATGATCCTACGATATATACCGAAGAGGCCCTGGAAGCATATTTTTGCCATAATCATCACTGGGTTTTCCAGAGGTTTTGGTCTGATGAATGTCAACAAAGCAATTTCTCTGCTTTATCATTACTATTTCTTTATTTTTATAAATAAAGAAATTTTATTTTATTATTTTGAAACAAAGTCTTGCTCTGTCACCCAGGCTGGAGTGCAGTGGCTTGATCTCGGCTTGTTGCAACCTCCACCTCTCAGGTTCAAGCAATTCTCGTGACTCAGCCTTTGAAGAAGCTGGGATTATAGGAGCCCCCCCACTACCATGCCTGGCTATTTTTGTATTTTTAGTAGAGACAAGGGTTCATCATGCTCCCTAGGCTGGTCTCGAACTCCTGGCCTCAAGCAATTTATCTGCCTCAGCCTCCCAAAGTGTTGAGATTTCAGGAGTGAGAAACCACACCTAGCCACAATTTCCCTGCTTTCTAAGAAATTTATGCGCAGATGGAAGTATGACTGGTAGGTCACGGACTTCATGGAGAGGGACCCAGAGACACAACCAGGAGCAGCCCTCAGGTCAGCATCAGCATGGGGGGATCAGGGGTGGGTGCTTACCAGATCAGGTCCGTGAAGCCCCTGTGCAGGTGCATGGAGGAGGAGGAGCTGCTGAGCACAGACAGGATGCATTCCAGGTAGAGAAGCTGCAGCTGCTGACTGTTACTGCAGAGGAGCAGAGCCGACACAAACCCAGATGTAAGACAAGGTAAAATTAAAGAGGTGATGTGTGGAAACACACTCAGAACAATGGTAGGTGCTAGTTTTTGGGGGAAGGTTAGCGTTATGGGTTGAACTGTGTCTCTCCTAAAATTCACAGGTTGGAGTCCTAATCTCCAGCACCTCTGAATGTGACCTTATTTGGAGATACGTCCTCACAGAGGTGATCAAGTTAGACTCAGTTCACTAGGGGGGATGCTAATCCCACGACTCTGTCCTTCCAGAAATGGAAGTTTGGACACAGAGGCATTGAGGGCAGACAGTGTGAAGAGAAACAGGAAAAGACAGTCATCCACAGGCCAATGAGAGAGGCCTGAGGAGATGCTTCTCTCACAGCTCTCAGGAGGAACCAACCCCACTCACGCCTTCATCTTGAACTTACAGCCTCCGGAGCTGTAATACAATCAACTGGTGTTTAAGGTACCCAGTTTACTGCACTTTATTACAGCAGGTTCAGCCAAATAATACAGTTGGGGTGATTTTTTTTTTTTACTAATAAACTTTACTTTTTAGAGCAGTTGGAGATTTATAGAAAAACTGACCATGAAAAGAGTTACCATGTTGAACCTATTATTAAATCTTACACTGGTATAGTACATTTGCCACAATTAATAAACAGATATTTATATATTAACTAACGTCCATAGTTTATGCCAGAAATGCTAATTTTTAATAGGTTTAATTATCTAAACCTTTCAAGAGACTGTTTATCACATTATCTTTTAATTGGTGAACACTTTATGAACTTGCATTAGACTTTTCTTCTTTATTGAAGAAACATGATTTTTCAAAGGACAGATTATTTTGTGTCCAAGTTATTATTATGGGGCTCCTTATAAAAGAACAGAGGTAGATTAAGAGAACAGACAACCTTACGGGAAACACCTTCTTAATATCCAGATTAATTTCTCTGCCCAGCCTACCAGAAAGTATTAAAATCCAAGCAGCTGACAAGAGTGACAGACAGGGCTAAGGAAGAATTTAATTTTCAGAGACATGTTTATTGCAAATACAGTAAATCTGTTTTTAGAGAGTTCACTCACCGATGTGGAATGCGAATTCTCAGAAAAAGGAAAATTTGCTTATGCAAATAATTTTTGTGTCTCTTTCTCCTAATCTAATAACCAAAGGAAGTCTAGTATCTTTAACAGTTCAAGTAACTCCCAGGAGAAGGGGGTGGAAGGAACAGCAAGGCTCATGCCAGGCCAACTAGAAACTTGAAGAGATGAGAAGGAAGCAAGGAAAAGTTAACGACAGTGCCAAGGCCAGAGATTACATCTATACAGTTGCCAGACTGAGATTGTAAGACAGAGGATAGTCAGAGGGGTAGACTCTTCATTTATGCACCATTAAATACCCTGACATTGATATTATGCTCTAAAAACCTTTGTCAAAATTCTTCCATGGCCTGCGTACTAAAAATACTGTTTTTATTTTCTTTTAAGGTATATAGAACTAAACAAAAACAAAGACAAGGGACAGAGATAGTTTGTAGCCCTTTATAGAAAAAGGTTCCTGACCCATATTATAAATCTTCCTTGTCCAAAGAGAGCTGTATAATAATTAAATAATGTTATTGTGCTGTAGAAGGGAATGCCATTTCTATTTGGATAGACTCTGCCTACCACACCCACTGGGTGGAAGAAGAGATGGGGAAAGGTCGAGCCTCCACAAAAATTATCACTATTTGCCAAGAGGAAGGTGAAGGATGGAGGAAGAGTAAGAAATGATGAGCCATTCTTGGGCCAGGTAAGGACCTCACATTTCTAGGCTTCTCGTCCTACAAGCTTCCCTATGCTTTTGATCAAGACGTAGCTCTTGACATGAAACAGCAGGTTTCTTCACTCTTATGGGACTGGACAGACATATAAGCAAGTAGACAAAGCACTGCTGGGAAGGGCTGTGAATACCTTAACACAAGGCTCTATGAGACCACATAGCAGGAGCACATTCTTAGAAAGCATTTCCACAGGAAATGAAGTTTCAGTAGGAGACTGTAGCATGGAGAAGCAGAGGAAGAGGTGTGACAAAATGTGGGGGTAGAGGAGGAAGGGATTTGGGCTGGGAGGTTTGTGGCTAAGGCACAGAGTGAGAGCCTGAGAGGTGGACAGAGGCCCGATCAGGCAGGGTTCTGCAGGCCACGCTAAGATATCTGGACTTGATTTGCAGGTAAAAGAGTGACATGAGCAGATTTGTGTTTCAGAATGCTCAATGTTTGCTTTATGAGAAATTGAGTGGAGAGGACAAATCAGGAGGGCCGTGGTATCACCTATAAGCCATATCTGAAAAATCCCTTCTGGAAGGATTGCCTTCACTGTAGTCTCGGCTAACCATTCTGACCAAATCACTTGACCCATTATTAAGAAGAAAAATTATGAAACGCTCCAATTCAAACATTTCTCTTTTTCTTTCAAACTGTCAGTCTAGCATCATAAAACTAAAGCAACTATAGACAGTAAACACTGTCAATTTCTGAAATTATTGGAAATAAATCCACAGAAAAGCTATGAGTCATCAAGCTATTGGCAAAGTGTGCCACAGTGAATATCACAACCCCCAGGGAATCAGACTCTCTGACAGGGAACGCATTGCCAAGGTAACTGGCCTGAGAGTCTCCTTGGAGACTGAACGCAGCAGCTTTTCCGTGGGTTGCGGCAGTCTGGAAAACAGGTGATCGTGGCCTTGCATGAGTCACATCATTAAAGGAGCTGTTTAAAACGTAAGCACCTTCCACTAGATGCACACACACACACACGTGCACATTGTATATGCCTGTAATAGCTGTCCCTACATGAACACATAAGTAGAATGTGTAAGGCAAAAGATAGCCTAGAAACTGGCCATCTCCTTCAGAACACCCGAGGGAAAAACCTGTCTACTTAGGAGGGCTGTAAGTCACTTTTCATGGCTGGCAGGCTGAGTCTCTGCTGGTCTCATTCTCTGCTCATTGCTGGACTTCTTCCCAGGTACACGATCTGTAGAGAACAATGCTCAGGCGGGGGCCCATGGGCTGTGAAGGCAAAGCAGCCACCCTTCCTGGCAAGGCTACTGGGAGCGCAACCTAGCATGTTTTGTATTTCTGGAGTTTTTAGCGTTTTGTTTTGTTTTGAACCATATTGACCTTGCCTCCCTTAGAAATAGATTTGAATTTAGATAAAGAAAGGAGAGAAGAAATTAATTGTGTAAGGAGTGAAATGGAATTCAGACAGACAGTAGGAATGCTTCAGTGGGCCCCATCGATTCCAAGCCTGCAATGGTATAGATTTTGCTCTAACATTCTGTTCTAGGAGGAGAGGGAAGCAGGGAAAGAGTGGTGGGAGCAACAGGCAAAAAATAAGTATCTTTCTAAGCCCAATTATCCTTCCAGAAATTCTTGGATTTAAAAAGCATCATGTAACTTAACTTGCCTAATATAGGACTCTATTAATATCACATCTCCAAGGCATGTGAGGGAGTGTTCTGAGTACCTGAATACATTTTCTGAATCCTCCCAAGAGACCAGGCATATCATGAATACACACCCCTACAGAGCTAAAGCCCCATGAGGCACTGAGTTTGGAAATGGCTGTTGAGGGTAAATACTGATCCTGGTGTGATTTCAGAGGAAGAACCTATTCAGAGGGTAGAAGAGGCATCAATCTAGCTAATAGAAATAAAGGAATTACGGTAGCAAAATCAGAAGAAATGGCACATACGTGAAAACCTGGCAAAGAGAATGAACAGAAGCTGGTCTCTGGTGAGAGCAGTTGGGGCATGGGATTATCTTCCCAGGTGGACATAGAGGCCTTCCCTTAGAGCTACCTTAAGCATCCTGTGCCCCAGCATCTTTAGCAAAAGGCCCCCATCTTAGGGTAATGGAGTCATGATGGCAAATACCAAAATCAAACAAAGCAATCAATTTATAGAGGCAGAACTATGACCAGGGGAATTGTATTGGAAAATCAAGCAAGACTATGAGAATCCTATAAAACCATTAAGCTCCAAAATAACATGCCTAAAGCCATCTTTGATCCGATGTACAATGAGAAATCCTAGAAAAATGTGCATGTGAATAATTTTCTCCATTTGAAACCTGTTCTCAAACTCCTGACCTCAAGTGATTCGCCACCTGGGTCCCAAAGTGCTGGGATTTCAGGCATGAGCCACTGCGAGACCAGCCTAGCCAACATGGTGACACCCTGTCTCTACCAAAAATGTAAAAAATTGGCTGGGTGTGGTGGTGTGTGCCTGTAATCCCAGCTACTCGGGAGGCTCAGGCAGGAGAATTACTTGAAACCAGGAGGGAGAGGTTGCAGTGAGCTGTGATCGCGCCACAGCACTCCAGCCTGGGCGAGAGTGAGGCTCTGTCTCAAACCCACAACCCCACAAAAACAAAAAACTTATTCTCAAGTCATATGATTAAGAAATGCTGTGTTTTTCAGTAACTGAAACCTACAACCTCTAGTTTCTTTTTTATTAATTTGAATTATTTTATTTTTAAGCAGTTTATTCATCTAAAAAATATCCAGTGCAGATCAGTCCCCTGGCCCCCTTCATCTGTCACTCTCCATCGTAGCTATAGCCCACTTCCTTTTTTTTTATTTTATTGCATTTTAGGATTTTGGGGTACATGTGAAGAACATGCAAGATTGTTGCATAGGTACATACATGGCAGTGTGATGTGCTGCCTTCCTCCCCATCACCTATATCTGGCATTTCTCCCCATGCTATCTCTCCCCAACTCCCCACCCCCCACTGTCCCTCCCCTATTTCCCCCCAACAGACCCCAGTGTGTAGTGCTCCTCTCCCTGTGCCCATGTGTTCTCATTGTTCAACACCTGCCTATGAGCGACAACATGTGGTGTTTTATCTTCTGCTCTTGTGTCAGTTTGCTGAGAATGACGGTTTCCAGGTTCATCCATGTCCCTACAAAGGACATGAACTCATTGTTTTTTATAGCTGCATAA